CGGCCTGCGTCTGCTGCTGCTGCCTGCTGCTGCTGCTGCTGCTGCTGCTGCTGGGCTGTGGGCCCTGTGGGCTGCCCTGCGCATGCGCCTTTCATAAAGGGCCCCCAGTTGGAAAGTTTTGCTTTCTAATTCATTTGTTTCTTCTCTTCTAAAAATAGGTCTTTGTGGGGAGGTGAGGGCCTCGAGAGCTGCTGCTGCTGCTGCTGCTGCTGCTTCGTCCGAGCTGGCTTCCGAGCCAGAGCGCGAAGAGTTGCTTCGGGATCTGCTGCCAGAAGTTTCTCTTTTTTCTCTTTTGCTGCTTCTGCTGCTTCTGCTGCTTCTGTGTCTCTCTCTTGGGAAGCTTCTTTGAGACGCGGAGTCTCTGTCTCTCCCGTATCTGCTGCTACTGCTGCTGCTGCTGCTCCTGCTGCTGGGCACGCGGCTGCTGCGGGCGCTGTCGCTGCGGCTGCTGCTGCTGCTGCTGTAGGCAGAGGAGCCCTCCTGCTGCTGCTGCTCCCCCTGCAGCTCTGCTGGCAGCAGCGCGGCCTTGCGTCTGCATGCAACAGGAAAGTTCAAGTTTGCTGCTTCGAGATGCAGCTGCTGCGGGGAGGAGCTGGGATCGTATCCAGGAGTTGTGGGGTGTGGGGCCCCACAGTTTTGCATGCAAAGCTCTTCTATTGCTGCCACCCATTCTGCTGCTAAGGCTTCTCCGTCTGCTGCCAGCAGCAGGAAGCTGCGCAGCTCTTTGCGGTGTATGTCCACGTCGAGGACCTCCAGCCCGTGCGGGTAGTCTGCTGCAGCAGCAGCAGCAAGCGCCGAAGCAGCAGCAGCAGCAAACGTTCGCGCGTAGCAGCTGCTGTCCAGAAATAAAGCTGTCTCAACAGCAGCAAATGGATCTTCTTCAGATGCATGCACGCACAGATAAGGGCCCCGAAGAGAAACCACCCGCACTTCCCACTCCAGGTGCAGCGGGTCCCTGAGCAGCAGCAGCAGCAGCAGCAGCAGCAGCACCAGCAGAAGCGAGGGCGGTGTCTGTGCCGGCTTCTGCTGCGGGTTCTTTCCGCCTTTTGCAGCTAATTAAAATTAAATAATGATTAAATAATACATTTAAAATATATTTACTTGCATTTGCTAATTCAAGAAGAGTAAAAGTGTTTAAATTAAATCGGCAGCAGCCAAAAATAAACCCCTGCGCATTCGCTGCGGTGTATGTACACCTGCTGCCCGCAAAGACGCAAGTTGCAAGCAGCGCATGCATGCGTTTTTTTTGGAAATTTCGGAGATTTTTAACAATTATTAAATCATTTTAATTATTTATTTTTATTTTATTTGTTTTATTTCTTTATTTTGATATTTCTGCATGCAAAATTGCATGCGGAGAAGCTGGACTGCATCTATTTGATGCTGTCGCTGCAGCGCGCGCTAGCGCCATAACTATTTATTTATTTATTTATTTATTTACATGTTTATCTATTTATTTATTTTTTTATTTATTTGTTTATTTATTTATTTATTTATTATTTTATTCAGTGATTATTTATTTCTTAAAACTGTTTGTTTTTTTGTTTGGTTGTTCGCTTGGCTACTTTTTGTTTATGAGGGTCTACGTTTTAGGGTTGAAGCGTTAGGGTTTAGGGTTTAGGGTTTATGGTTTAGGGTTTGTTGCGAAGGCTCACTTTCTAACAAACGCCTGGTACTTGTCGGGGGCTGCAGAGAGCGCAGCAGACGCAGCAGCATCCGTAAACCCTAAACCCTAAACCCTAAACCCTAAACCCTCAACCCTCTAAACCCTAAACCCTAAACCCCAAACTCTCAACCCTCTAAACCCTAAACCCTAAACCCTAAACCTAAACCCTAGGTACTTCTGGCTTACGTTTCTTGAGGAAGAGTTCCCCGTAGGGGTTGAGGCCTTTGTTGTAGATGACGGGCGGT